TTTTGCAAATTGCACATATTTTATATATTATAATATTTCAGTCACTTATGCACAATTTTAAAACATTGTAGAAGTTCTAGTGTACAAAAACCAATCATTTATGCAAATATAAACCACCGGAACATGTTTATAATTCAGGTGTAACATTCACAAAACAACTCATTCGCATAACATCTCATCCGCAGAACACTCGCGAATCATTTACGTGCAAAGAAACGAGAAAAAAACATTTGGCGAACACTTGGCGGATGATTTCCGACTTTATGCCCGAGCTCGAATGGTGAAAACGATCTGCGAACGTTGCACTTTTTGCGATGGGGCCTGAACACAACTCATGGGAGCCAGAGGAACATTTGACCGAAACTACGGTTCACGGATATCTGGAAGGCATGGCTCAAAGAGCAGCCTCACAACCAGTGGATGGTGTTGACCCTGGTCGTAATGTGATTCGGCGCGCTCGAAGCACCCGTCCCCAGAAGCACTCTACGGCAACGGGGACGTTGCCACCTAGAGGGGGAGGAGTGTAACGCATGGCCTCGGCATAGTACACGGGCCTAGAAACGACCGTCCCAACCACCTTTCACAAATTGGCTACCTAGGTAGCGCGAAATGGGAAGGAAGGGTTGGGAGGGGATGATTGGGATTGGTCGATACTTAGGACCAATCAGATTTTAGTTGTACAAATTGAGTTGGCGAAATTCCCAACACATGCGATGGTTGGATTTGCGACCAATCTGAACCAGGGAGTTGGTTGGCAATGCCAACTCAACTCGAATATTCTTATGCTGTACACTATATGCTAATCTGAATACATTGTTGTAAACCTCTCATTGGTTGGAAATCCAACCCTTTTGCCACATAGGCTAGCTCACCTCCTTGGAACCATGGAGGAGGTTGAGCAGCTGCTGGGAGTCATTGGAAGGGGTCTGGGCTGAGAAGCTCATTCTCAACTTCCCACTCCAAGAAATCAATCTTGAAATGGGATTTTTCTCTAAGTCATGAGCTCTCCTCACAAGCTTCCCTACACTAGTGGCTTCTAGTGTGATCTCCTAGGGGAAGCCCTACCCAACCAGAGCCTCAAGCGCTATTCTTCAAGGGCCTTCCTCAAGCTTAAGCTATCTCTTAGAGGAGGTCCCTCATAAATACCATGCTAGGGGATCGTTAGTTGATTTTGTACTCCATTTATATCCTAGGATCTTGGATGTTGGGTTTGGACTTCAACCCTTGTTGCCCATGATATAAGGGCAAGGGTTGTTACATTGGTATCAGAGCAAGGTTAATCCTAAGCCTTGTGGGATTTTTCTTGATCCTTTTTTTTTTTTTTTTTTTAGAGGGGTGATTGGACCTCAATCCAAGACATTCGAGTGAAGATTTGAAGATCTTTAAAGACATTTCAAACTTCTCCAAGTCATTTTGAAGAGCTTTTCAAAGATCTTCATCAACTCCAACCCCTCTCAAGACCATTTTCCGCTACAACCTCTTCTCCTACCTCTACAATACAAGTTTTGAAGAGAGATAATATTCTCTCTTGCCCACCTTGTTGGTGGAAGGCTCCCTTGTGGAGTGTGTTTCAGATCTGTGATCTGTTGCATGATCTAGTTTAGATCTTGCCCTAGCATTGAGGTGCTAGGGATTGGGCAACAGATTGTATTTCTTGTTATTTCTCATTTTAAGTTATTCTGTTAAGAGATCTCTTTATTGAGATTGTCTTGCCCTCTCACTGCGATGATTGGGACTTGAACAGATTTCTTAAGAGATTTTAAAGAACATTTCAGATCTGTTGAAATATCTTCCTTGTTTTATTATGACTTCAAGTCAAGTTTTGGAGAACTTGGAAAGGGAGGAGCCTAATGTGACCCCTGAAGGAGCCAACCTTGCTGCTAGTAATAACCAACAGCAAGATGAGGCTATGGCTGATATTGAATTGGTGGACCTAAATTTGGAGAATGAGGGCAATGAAGAGCATGGAGAATTAGAAGGGATTGATGGAGCAGAGGAGGAGGATGATGGCATCGAGGCATGGTCGCTCTCCGATGATGTGGCTAAAATCCAGGCACAAGTCTCCGAGCAGCAGCTTACAATCAATCAGCAGAAGGGACACATCAACTCCCTCAATATTGCTTTGGCGACACAAAAGGCCGACACGACTAGGCTGCAAGCCGATCTCAACATGGCATACGGAGAGGTACGGGATCACAAGCGTCTTTTACATAACCGGGGCAATCAAATCCTGGCTCTAGAGAAAACGTGCGACCAGCTGCAAGCTGCTATTACCCAACTGCAGACTACAACTGCCCAGCTGCAATCTACCATCGCCCCGATGCAACCTGCTATTGCTCACGTGCAGAACCAGTACAGAGATATTCGGAGGGGCCCTATCTATCAACACTCACCCGCTACTGTTGGCCCATCGGGCACCCAATCCAACCCGCCGCCTGCTGCAGCTCCTTCAACTGCGGCACCTCAGCAGCCTGTCCAGCCTATGGCAACACCTTTTGGCTCGCTCCCCACTGCGCTCCCAAAATTCATCCATGGCAAGACGGAGTTGAGAACTGGGTGACAACTGTGGATGAAATGTTGACTCTCCACAACGTGCGCAACAACGCTCGTGTCACCGCTGTCTCTGGCGCGTTGGATGAGCATGCTAGTCAAACCATGTTTGCTAGCCGGAAGCAGCTTGAAGCAAGTGGAAAGTTTTTCACTTGGGACGAGTTCTGTGCTGCAATGAAAACGGCTTTCCTTGTCAAGACAACTGACTTGGAGGTGCGTCGTCACCTTGAAAACATCAAGTGCGGCGATCGCTCTGTGCAGAAATATGCACAAGAGTTTGAGAGCGTTCTGCGACTGCTGGGCAAGCAACTGTCTGAGAATGAAGTTATGTATATCTTCTTCCAAAACTTGCCCCAGTCCCTGCAGGATAAGCATGTCGCAAATGGCCTCAACAAATGGAGCACCTACAAGGAGCTCAACGAGGCGGTTCAAGCAACGGACGAGACTGTTCGTATGCTAGCAACGCCTTCCACCGACCAGCCTGAGTCGAGGACTCAGGCGAAGGGTGATGGTGGCAATGGAGGTGGTGGCCATTGGAATTCCAAGGGGAAGGGCCAAGGGTACAAGAGGCCCTTCCACCAGAATGGTAACCAGCAGCGTCCTCCGACTAAGAGGGCGAATGGTGGCTGTTACAAAGGGCCGCCAAGGGACTTCTCTAATGTCGTCTGCCGAGGGTGTGGCCGCCGTGGTCACATGGAATTTCAGTGCCACTATAGAAATATCATAAAGCATAGTGGTAAGCCTAAGGGCAACAACAATGGAGGCGAAGGACCTTCTGGCAGTAAGAAGGATTTTCAGAAGTCCAACTAGGGTGTGGGTACCTAGTCGGTCAGATAGATCGAGGGGATGAGGCATATGCTTTATGTGACGATGATTTACTAAAGCTAGAGAAGCTTGCTGAATGCAAAATCTCTTGTTTGTTTGCCTCTTCTTTTAATAAAAAATCAATGTTTGCACATCGATCGTACCCACTTGATGCTATATCCATCGAAGCATTACGAGATAAATTCTCAGTCGTTTACTGTGGCCTGGAAACATCGCCTTCTGTACTCGATATTGTGAGTCGTTGTACTCAAGAGCACCCCCTGACTGCGGTCGCCGTGGTGACTCGTACAGTAAAGGGCGAAACGTTCAAATCGCTTCATGGATGGGTTGTGCTGGTGTCTTGGGACAAGGGACACCATGTGTGGTGGACCAAATCTGAATCCTTTGGATGAGCCCGTCACAATGTCAAGGTGTACTACAAACCCTCGTCGAACATTGTGGCATGCCCCATCCGCCCAATGCATCAACAAAATCTACTGCTTTCGGGTCGCGTTAACGGGCATAGCGCGAAAATTCTTGTCGATACAGGTGCCACTGTTTCCCTCTTTGATGATAAGTGGGTCACACCGCTTGGGGTCCTCGTTGAAGGACCGTCATATCCCATTCGTCTTGGTGACGATAGTCTTATCCCAAGCAAAGGATGGACAATGATCGACATGGAAATCCAAGGCTATAGCGAAAAGGTTCGCACTTACGTTCTCCCCTTGCTTGCGGTTGTCGACGTAGTCTTGGGAATGAATTGGTTACGTGCAAATGAGGTTATTATGGATTTCCAGGATAACACTGTTTCTTTCACCAAGAATGGTGAACCAATCCAGTGGCGGGTGTCTGTCGACACAACCATCCCGGTGGTTCAAATTACGAAAAGTCCAGATGTGTGCTTTGCTCTTGCATGTCAATTCAGACAGCATTACCGCATTGCTAACACACTTTTTGTTGTACAGCTCGAGGAAGCTGGAACCCCGACGCCAGACATTGAGGATTTTCCACCTCAGATGACGGTACTGGCGGATGAATTTAAGGAGGTTTTTGAGTCTATTCCAGACGGCCTCCCTCCTGACCGCGCCGTGGGCCACATCATCAGTGTGGAGCTTGGAAAGCTCCCACCGTTTCGACCTCTGTATCGCCTCAGTCCAGCTGAGTACGAGGAGGCTAAACAACAGATTGAGGAGTACCTCAGGAAGGGATGGATTGAGCCACGCGCATCACCATATGGAGCACCAATCTTGTTTGTTAACAAGAAGGGTGGTGGCTTACGCATGTGCGTCGACTACCGCGCCTTAAACAAGATCACGATCAAGAACAGATATCCTCTTCCAAGGATAGTAGACCTGTTCGATCGACTCCAGGGTGCTCAGTGGTTTAGCGCGTTGGATCTGGCACAAGGGTACCACCAATTGCGCATCACGGAGGAAGATGTTCCCAAGACGGCGTTCTGTTCGCCGTTTGGCCATTTTCAATGGCGCGTGCTGAGCTTTGGCTTGACCAATGCTTCGGCCTCTTTTCAGAGGGCCATGAACGATGTGTTTCGCGAAGCTATCGGACACTTCGTTCTGGTTTACCTCGACAATATCTTGGTTTACTCCAAGACTGAAGAGGAGCACACTCAACACCTAAAATGGGTGCTAGGGAAATGCGAGAACACAAGTTCTATGCTCGTTTATGGAAATGCCATTTCTACAAACGCGAGCTGGAATACCTCGGTCATCTTGTCGGGAACAACGGACTTAAAGTCGACCCCAAGAAGGTGGTGGCTGTTCAGAATTGGCCCGTCCCACAGGACGTGGGTCAGATCAGGTCCTTCCTAGGCCTGGCCAATTATTTCCGCTGGTTCTTGGAAAATTACTCGACTGTCATTGCCCCTCTAACAGCACTCACCCGAAAAAGTACTGCATGGGAGTGGACTCGACAATGCCAAGAGGCATTTGACAAAGTCAAAACAAAGCTGACCAATGCTCCGGTTTTGGTATTGCCAGATCCTTCTAAACCCTATGAGATGGTCACAGACGCCTCGACAGTAGGGATTAGGGCGGTACTCTTGCAGGAGGGCCGTCCTGTGGCATTTGAGAGTAGGAAACTCTCCCCGGCAGAGCAGCGCTATACGACGTCAGAACAAGAGTTGCTGGCGGTCGTGCATGCGCTGCGAACATGGCGATGTTATCTGGAAGGTGTGGAGTTTGTGGTCACGACAGACCACTGTCCGAACACCTATTTCTCTACTCAATCCACGCTCACTCGGCGCCAAGCCTGCTGGGCAGAACTCCTTAGTGGGTTCACATTCGATATTCGATATCGTGCAGGTTCTACGAACATGGCTGACCCCCTCAGCAGACAACCGATAGGGGCAGCGACTGGGCTTGATGAAACCGATGATAAGGCAGTGGTTGCTGCTTGCTTCGGTATTCTTGCCGTGGCTCGAGTGAGTGAGGTCACCTTCAGTGGTTTTCTGAAATGCATCCGCACAGGATACCATATTGACTCCTGGTTCTAGAACCCACAAAATACGAAGAGCCTCAAGTACGAGCATGAGCTCTGGTGGCGAGAGAAAGAGATTGTGGTACCCCACGTGGGTAACCTGCGGAATGATATAATTGAGGAAATGCATAGCACCAAGTACGGGGGACACCTGGGTATCAAGAAAACCCGGTGGGCCTTAAGTGATGTGTACTGGTGGCCTGGATTGGGGACTGAGGTCCAACAATTCGTGTCGCGTTGTGATGCATGCGCACGCAACAAGTCAGACACGAAAAAGCCTGGTGGTTTGCTTCAACCTCTGGAGATTCCAGACGAACCTTGGGAGAGTGTCTCACTGGATTTCATCACAGACCTCCCAAAAACACGCGACGCTCATACTGCGATCTTGGTCTTTGTGGATCGATTGACCAAAATGGTGCACTTCGTGGCTACTACAACAGCCGTATCTTCGGAAGATATGGCCAAGTTGTTTGTAGCACACGTGTTCCGCTTACACGGGTTACCACGTGTGATGGTGTCCGATCGAGATCCGCGCTTTACAAGTCGGTTCTGGCACGAAGTTACACGGACACTCGGAACGAAGCTAAAGATGTTGTCAGCCTTCCATCCCCAAACGGATGGGCATTTAGATCGGACGAATCGTACGCTTGAGCACATGCTTCGTTCCTTCATCGGCCCAACTCAGGATGATTGGGATGACTTGTTACCTGTGGTTGAGTTCGCAGTGAACAATTCTGTTCATAAAGGTACCCATGAAAAACCCTTCATTCTGAACAGTGGTCGGCATCCCACGACACCTGCTATGCATGGGATAGGCGGACTGCGAGTCCCTGCCGCGAAAGACTTTGTGGGCAAGCAGCAAGAAGCGCTCAAGTCTGCTCGCCACTGGCTGCAGCTGTCTCAGCAGCGACAAAAGTCTTATGCCGACATGAAGCGCCGGGAAGTCTCTTTTTGTTAGAAATAGACTACAAATACCACTTTTGTATTTGTACTTTTATATCCTAGTTTAGGTTTTGAATGTTCTAGTGGGTTGGGGTGTACTCACAAATCCCAACCTCACCCAATTGTGATCCCCCCAATCTCCAATTACCCAATTGGAGATTCCGGAGATCCCAATGGGGATTCCCTCCAATTCCCCCTTCATCCATTCTCTCTCACCTTGCCATGTACTTATAGAGCCTTGGGCTCCTTACCTAATCAATCATTTCAACTCTATTTCTTACATGGCATCAGAGCGACCTATCCGCACACGCGGATCAAGGTCCTAATCTGAACGTGCCCGCGCTACGCGCACTTCATCGTCGCGACATTCGTTTCGAGTCGTCGGAATTTCGACGTGCTCCACTTTGCAGTCGCGCCTCTCATCGTCGACCGCCTTCGCGCTCGACCTCGTTGAATTTCTCATCTTTGAAGCTTTCACGCTTCTCATCGTCGATTTCCTCCTCGGTTCTCCTTGGTCGAATCTCAATTTCGACCATCTCTTAAAACTCGTTCTCGAGTTTCCCCTCAGACCCCGCCAGAATAGGCAAACTCCCCTCGCGAAATCGCCTCCACGAACGTCTCGCGTCAAATCAAGAGCAGGTACACAGGTTGAAGCGGAGCGGAGCTGGTTGCGGAGCTGGTTGCGGAGCTGGTTGCGAAGCTGGTTGCGGAGCTGGTTGCGGAGCTGTGTAGCTGTGGGACAGGGCCTAGGGGTGTGTGGGGGGGTGTGTGGGTCCGGGGTTAGACATAGGCTCAGATTCAGTTTCAAGTCGGTGTTTTAACGAATTTTCGCCGACGCCATTTCCTACTTAGCGGCATTTTGATACAGCCATCAGAGTGATTTTCAGCAATTCTCGTCGACCAATTTCCAGAAGTGCCGCGCTGCACACCGACAATGGCTTACTCAACCACTTCACTCGCCAACCCGATCCCGCTCCTTTGTCTCGAGCCGGACGGCACATGCTCCAACTACAAGGCTTGGCGCTATGGTGTCGACAAGCACCTCCTCAGTCGCGAGGTGAAGGGGCTCGAGCTCACCGACTTCCTTCTCAACATCGGTGACGGCAAAGAGCCTCCTAAACCCGAGAGGTCCGCCGATCCAGCTAATGCCGCCGCCGAAGTAGTTTATGCTGCTGCACTGCTCAAGTACAAGAATTGGGAGAAGGCCGATGGTGCGGTCATTAGTGTCTTCATGGGCACCACTCCTCCCGAACTCGTCGAAACCTACCACAACTACCCGTCTGCCAATGCCATTTGGCTCTACCTCGAGGATCGCTTCCTGAACAAGACTGCAGTGGGAGTTGCTATACTCATCCCCAGCATGTTCCAAGTGCGGCTCGAGGACTCGCCAGGCATGGCGGACTATGTCACCAAGGTGCAGTCCATTCATGGTGAACTCAAACAGTTGGGGATAGTCTTCCCTGAGCAAGCCCCTGCAGCCGCTCTCCTAGTCGGCCTCACTCCGGCATACGAAGTCACACGCAAGATGCTCTTGGGCCTTGCTCCTGCAGACCTCACATTTGCCAAGGTCTCATCCGCGCTCCTTTCTGCCGAAAAGGACAACATCGCTCAAGCCAAGGCCAATGCAATCCGCGCTCCCGTGCCTCAAGCCTATGCCGCTTTGGTGCCATTCCAGCGCAACCGCTTCCCCCCGTGTCCCTATGTCATCAAGCGCGGCCCTCGTGCTGGCCAGGTGTGTGGCGGCACCAACCACGGCCTTGCCTTCTGCTTTAAGAAGAAGGATGACGAGTGGTATGCCGTCAATGGGACCGCCTCCAAGCCGCCAAGCTGGATGGTCAATCGTGCTCCTCGCCAAGTCAATCAAGTCGAAGCGCAGGAATCCGTGCAGGCTGCTGTGGCTGATGTGCGCCTCAACATGTTGTTCCCTGGCACTGCCATGATTAATGAGACGATTTCCCAGTATCCTGGCTCACAAAGCACCTCAGCCACAATAGAGTTCACCCTCGACAGTGGGGCCACTCACACGGTTCTCAAGGAAGAACACTCCTTCAAGCCATACGAGACACCAATCCGTCTACTTGGAGCAGACTCCAGTTTCACAACACACGCCAAGGGCTCCTCCACAGTTCCGTGCCCAGCTTTTCCTTTGGGCAGTGTCACCGGCATGTGTGTTTCCACACTACGCCACAATCTCGTGGCCCAACATGAGCTCCAACGGGCAGGTGTCACAACGATCGTCCCAGCACACTCGGATCACTGTGACCTCCTCGACCCTAAGTCCAACAAGCTCCTAGCACGCTTCACACTCAACAGCAGCAAGCTCTACACGCTGCGTTCACCTGCACCTCTCGCCGCCCTCTCCCAAGCGCAAGCTGCCAGCACCACTCCGTGTTCGTGTCGCAGCTTCGCCAACCCAACCATCCTCTACCACCATCGCTTGGGTCACCCCAACTTCCGTACACTTGCCGACATCGCTTCCAAGAAACTTCTTCTTGGCCTCCCGTCGATGCTTCCTCCACCAACAGACTCGCCTGCACCCACCTGCCTGGACTGCACCAAGAGCAAGCTCAGGCAGCAGCCGCACCCTTCCTCCCCATCCGTCGCAGCTGCTCCGCTGGACCTAGTGCACATGGATGTCTGGGGCCCAGCTCCAGTCGCATCCCGAGGCGGTCATCGGTAATTTCTTACACTAGTCGATGACCACTCGTGGTATGTTTTTGTGCACCTCCTGCATACCAAGGCGGAGGCACTTGATGTCATCATGGCGTGGGTGCGCCAGGCTCAAGTCACGTTCGACACTCCTCTGAAGTGCCTCCATTCTGATGGCGGGGGAGAATTTCGCAATGGCAAACTCGATAACTTCTGTGCGGCCCAAGGGATCCGGCAAACCTTCACCCAGACCTGCATGTACCTGGGGCACAACTCCAACTCCCCAGACTACTTATTCCTCAACCCAATCACCAGACAGCTGATTTGCAGCCGTGATGTCGTCTTCGATGAGACACGCCCATTCCACTCTGCGACCACGGGCGAGCCTCCTCCACCTCCCCCGACGCTTGTTTGGGCAGACTTCGATGCCCCACCTCCGGCCGCTGCCCCTTCTCTGGGGCCTTCTCCGTCCGGCGTGTCTCACCCGGGCTCCCCAGTATCCTCCGCAGCGGCACCTCCTCCTACTCCGCCTTCCCCGCGCGTCGAGCCCGGCTCACCAGTCTCCTATCGGAGGCGCCCAGTCCCTCCGGTCCCACCGCAGCCGCCTTCGTCTCCGGTCTCTAGTCGCACTCGTTCCAAGGGACCGGCTCCGCCTCTCGCCTGGGGACCAGCCGCCTTCTCCATCCGGTGTTCGGTCACCCCACCTCCTCCTGCCGGGGGTGATGTCCTGTCACAGGATCGAATGTCTCGAGGAAAGGTTGCACTATTGATCAGTACAAGGCGCTTTTATACTTCCAGAGTACATCAGGTAACCAGGTTTATCTTATCCTAGGGAAATAGACCCTTCTAGAAGATAGAATCACCCTGCGTATAGCCACGCAAGGCTATTGGCTTTAAGGGATTACAGCAGGATTACGCTAGATAGAGCGCACCGGTACATCCCAAGCCTGGTTGGTGATATAATTATAATAGCAGGATAAACCAAAGGTTAATGGAAAAGGAAGAATAGGAAACCAAAGGAGATGGAATAAAAGAGAAATGAAAAAGGAAGGAAATAAGAAAAGGCCAAGTGGTGTAACGTGGTTGTACTCTCACACTTCCCCCCCTCAAAGCTGGGTGGTAGAAGCTTGACAAGGTAGTCATGCAGAGGACGACGGGCGTTACCCATGTCGGACTCAGGTACCCAGCTGTCCTCAGAAGGATCATAACCCTTCCAACGGATGAGAAGCTCCACGGTGCCATTCCGACGACGGCGGTGTGCGAGCACGGACTCGACCTAGTACTCGGGTTCATTATGGACGAGGACGGGTGGTGGCGGCGGCGGTTGGCGTCCAACGAAAATCGTGTTCGGGTCCCGATAGGGCTTCAGAAGTTGGACGTGGAAGGCGTTGTGAATCTTCCAGGTAGCTGGCAGGCGTAAGCGGAAGGTAACAGGAGTGACCTGTGCTTCAACGAGAAAAGGCCCGCACAAGCGAGGTCGAAGTTTAGATGGGAGATGGCTGATGTCTAGGTTGCGGGTGTCAAGAAGCACCTGGTCTCCTACCGTGACGGTGTGATCGTTGCGATGGCGATCGGCGTGGCGCTTCTGTTGCTGTTGAATGTCGAGTAGGCGCTTGTGGGTCCGATCCCAAAGCTGATGCATGGTTGTGATGAAATCATGTGCGGGTTGGACTGTAGCTGATGCTGTCGGTTTTTGGGGTGTGAGTGGGTGGTGTCCGTAGCAGAGGAAGAACGGCGTCTGTCCAGTAGCGGCATGTGTAGCATTGTTGTAAGCAAACTCTAGTACGGGCAGGTGCAAGTCCCATTTGGAGATCTCGTCCTTGCAGGCTGCTCGGAGGAGTTGCTCAACAATTTGGTTGAGGCGCTCGGTCTGTCCGTCTGTCTGCAGGTGGTAAGCGGATGACATGGCGAGTTTGGTCCCGAGGAGAGACATAAGTTCCTTCCAGAACTTGCTAGTGAACTTAGGGTCTCGGTCGGAGATGAGTGTGGTTGGAATGCCATGCTGTGAGATGATGTATCGAACGAAGAGTTGTGCTGTTTCTTCGGTGCGTGCGGTCGTGTGTGTCGGAATGAAGTGTCCCATTTTGGAGAACTTGTCAATGACGACAAGGATGGCGTCATGACCGCTGGAGGTAGGTGGTAACCCGGTGATGAAGTCCAGGCTAACCACTTGCCATGGTTGTTCTGGGACAGGAAGAGGCTGCAGTAGTCCCGCCTTCTTCTGCTTGCTGCTCTTCATCCGCTGACATGTATCACACGAGGTGACGAATTTCTGGACATCTTCTGCTAAGTGGGGGCAGTAGTAGTGCTTTGCGATACCGATCAGCGTCTTGTTGCTACCGAAGTGTCCGGCGTACAGGACGTCGTGGTATTCTTCGAGTAGTAACTGGCGCAAAGGAGGGTAATTGGGTACCCAGATTTTCGTGGATCCTTTCCGGTACGCGATGTCACTGTCCCACTGTAGCAGATGTCGCTTTTCTGCCAAGGGAATTTCGGGGTCGGTGGCGTACCCGTATATGAAGAGTCCCTTGAGTAGTGGATTCATCCCTTCGACCTGAATAGCGGCAACGTGGGCAGGCCGGCTGAGAGCGTCTGCTTTGTTCTTGTGACCGGGCTTGTACACGATGTCGTAGTGGAAGTGTGTCTCGAGGAAGTCGATCCACCGGACCTGCCGCCTGGAAAGGTTGGGTTGTGTCTTTAAGTATTTCAGGCTGCAGTGGTCAGTGTAGACGGTTGTTCTTCGTCCTTCGAGATAGCATCTCCACGCTTTGAAGGCGATGATGATGGCCAGGGCCTCTTTGTCGTGTATCGGGTAGTTTAGTTCTGCCCCGTGCAGTTTCTTACTTAGGTAAGCAATTGGTTGCAGTCCATTCCCTTGATCTTGCATCAAGACTGCTCCCACTGCTTGGTCACTGGCGTCAGCTTCGATGACGTAGTCGCGTTCGGGATCTGGCAAAATGAGTACCGGTGCGGACGTAAGTGCTTGCTTCAGCTGCTCCACGACTTCCTGGTGCTTCGGCTCCCATTTGTAGGGCGTGTTCTTCTTCAGCAGATTTGTGAGTGGTGCTGCGATTTTCGCATACTGTGGCACGAACCTGTTGTAGTAATTAGCGAAGCCTAGGAACTGCTGCAACTCCTTCACGTTCTCGGGTGTCTTCTACGTGCGTACGGCCTCGATTTTCTTGGGGTCGACGTGAACTCCTTGAGCGCTCACCATGTGTCCTAGGAACTGGACCTTTTCAAGGGCGAATTCGCTCTTGGACAGTTTGACGTAGAATCCTTCTCGTCTAAGAATTTCGAAGTCGCGTCGCAGGTGTTCGACGTGCTGCTTCATGTCGCGCGAGTAGATGAGTATGTCGTCCAGGTACACCACCACGCATTCGTCCAGAAGTGGTCGTAGAATGTGGTTCATTTCGGCTTGGAACGTTGCCGGCGCGTTGGTGAGTCCGAACGGCATGACCAAATACTCGTACGATCCGTAACGAGTTCGAAAAGCAGTTTTGTGGATAGAGTTGTCCGCCATCCGTATCTGCCAATATCCGGACCGCAGATCCAGTTTGGAAAATACCGTAGCTCCCCGAAGCTGGTCAAGCAGGTCATCGATTCGTGGTATTGGATATTTATTCTCGATGGTCTGCTTGTTAAGAGCTCGGTAGTCGATGCACATGCGCAGGCTTCCGTCCGGTTTCGGTGTGAAGAGTACTGGGGCACCGTACGGCGAAGTGGATGGTCGGATGAGTCCTTTGGCTAGGAGATACTCGATTTGTTTTTTCATGTTGGTCAGCTCCGTAGGGCTGAGCCGATATGGTGCTCGGAAGGTCGGCTTCGAACCCGGTTCCTCCACGATCTCGTGTTGATGCGTTCGGTATGGCGGTAGCTCATTCGGAAGATCGTCCGGAAGAATATCTTGGAACTCCTTCAATAATTCCTTGATCTTTCCTGGAGGTTCCGAGGTTCTCTCCCTGTCGTTCTCCGCCTGTGTTGCTATTGCCAGGAACCCTGTGTCGGTTCGCTTCACGTCCTTCTCGAATCGTGCGAGTGTCTCCACTGGGATATCTCCTGTATCGTCCCAGTTGGGTAGCTGTACTCTCCGTCCATTGTTGTAGATGCTTGCGGTGCGGTTCACCCAGTTGATCTCGGGGTTGAATGTTTTTAGGAAGTCTCGCTCGAAGATCAAGTCAAGCCCCTTGATGTTGGTGATGGGGAGTGCAGGTCTCCATCCCAGTGGTCCAATTTGTAGGTGTAGCAGTGCTTCACCGTGTACTGGTAACTTGCTGCCATCCACCATCGTTGCAGAGAATCCTGAAGGCTTGTACTCTTCCCGAAGTCGGTCGATCACTGCCTTGTCGCAGACGGTGTGTGATGCTCCGCTGTCCACGAGTGCTTGGAGGCGTCGTCCTTTGCAGATGACCTCGAGCACGAGGGGCAGTCGTTGCTCGGAGTACACAAAGATAGTTTCATTGATTGGGTCATAGGGTACATCCCAATATTCCGTACACACCTTTGTGTTGCTATCTACTCCTGAGCTGGCAGCTGGCCGAGACTGCTTGGAGAACGGTTCTTCTCCAGGGCCCGGAGTTTCCTTGACGACTATGCGCGTCACTGATGCCGAAGAACTGGATGCATCCGGAGGAGGTTTTTGGGGTTTGTGCAGCTTCTTATAGACCCCCAGCTTCCTCTTGAGCTGCTTCAGCTCCACCGACGTCTTCCCTGGGGAACGGGTAGTCGTTGTGGGCTGGTGTCGGGAGAGGACGTTGAATCCGTGGAAAGGTCGGCTTCTTTCCACACTCCTTAATTTTTTCCCCAAGTTGTCCGGTACCGGTATAATCTCCACAGCTGTCTGCTTCTTTTGGAGTCCCTCCCGAAATTTCTCCAAGGCTCTAGCTCCTCGAAAATCATAAGTTTTCATTAAAGCATCTTTATAAGATAACTTTAATGAATTCTTATAATTTCTTGGGTCTTCAAGGAGTTTCCCTGTCTCGGCAGAGTCTTTTTTCGCGGAGTCGTATTTTTCCTCGGCGATTTTCCCTGGCGAAGACTGGTTGTGGGTGTTAGGATTAAGGACAGAGTCTAGGTGAACTTAGGAGCTAGAATTACTCAAAATATAAATCCGAAATTCTGGACAGAAAAGTCGTCTTCACAAGAAACGACGTCGACAAAACACTAGCCGTTGGAATGTCGCGAAACTTGGATATGTTGTAGCTCTTGATCTCAGCTACCGTTCCCAATTTGAATCACGTTGATTGATGAAGTATTCGCGACGCTATGGCTTTCGACGCACTAGGGGGTAAGCTGTAGGAGGAGAACTTAACTCAATCTCAAGAGTTCAATCAAAGTTCAAGAATCTCACAAGGAATTAGAAGGAGCAAGAGAAAGGTTGGGATAGGAAGAGAGGGATGAGAGGGAAGGTCCCAAGAGAGTCCCCAACCAAGGAAACCCCATAAGCACAAAGATTCCCTCCCTATAGGAACCCCAACTTTGACATTTGTCCCTTCCCAACCAATCCATCCAAGTTGGCCACCCTTGCCAACCTAGCTTGGTTGTTCCCAACCAATTTGCAGCTGTTACAGTGAGTGACAAATTTCCCAAACCCCCAAAGGTCCCAACTCCATATAGAGTCACCCCACAACTTCACTTTGTAACCGCCGCAATTGTAACGCAAGCTCATGAACTTTGAATCTTCATAGCTTTCGCGTTCTTGCTCCGATTGAAGGGATTCTCGTTGCGTCGGAAAGATCTTCTCAAGATCTATCATCACAAAAAACCTGCTCAAACAAAATAACACAAAACACATTCCCAAACTCCAGAACACATCACACACAAATTCTTGCACACGTTCAAACCACACATGCAAGTTGAAAAAATATGGGATGGGAGGCAGACAGAATGTGATAGCATATGATGACATCACACAACAATCTCCCCCTCTGGCTGCCAACCATCATCCACCATACCAACATCTCAAGCATGCATACTCAATGCACACTCATCCCAGCAAGCTTCATGCCCTTCCAATGATCCGCCTCCGCCAGACGCTTGGTGAAAATATCTGCTGCCTGCTGATGGGTCTTCACTATCTCCAGCCGCACCTCCTTATCAAGGAGTCTCCTCACCCAATGCCACTTAGGCCTTATGTGTTTTGTCAGCCCATGCAGACAAGCATTCTTGGCGAGCTTCACAGCGGACTCATTGTCACAAAACACAACTGTCGGCTTCTCCTGACCAACTCCCAACTCCTCCAACAAACGCCTTAGCCACACTACTTCCTTGGCCCCATGGTGTAAGGCCATGTACTCAGTCTCACATGAGGACAATCCCACCTCATTCTGCTTCTTGCTGCGCCAGCTCACAGCACCACCTCCTAGCAAGCACACATAACCCCCAATGCTGGTGCCATCCGCTTTCACTGAGTTGAAGCTAGCGTCAGTATAGCAACTCAAGAGCATCTCTCCACTCTTCACATCTGCAGCACCTCTCTGCAACCGCTGCCTCACTCCACTGTACTCCAATCCCACTGATGCCGTAGCGCTCACATAGCGGACCAACCTCTTGGCCGCTTCCAGCTGCTCATGACTAGGGCGTGAGACCACACTAGCCAATCGTGATGTAGCAAATGCAATGTCAGGCCGTGTATGATTTGCAGCATAATTCAGCGACCCAACCATCGAATGAAACAGCTTCCTGTCACTATCACCCACTACCTCCTCATCAGCACATGGCTCCACAGTAAACCCTGAAGGTAGTGGTGTTGCTGGCTTTCCCCCATCTTGCAGCCCATACTTCTCAGCCAGCCCCTCACAGTACTTCCTCTGGTGCAACCTCAGCACACCCTTTTCCACATCTCTCTCCACGTGCATCCCCAAGTAGTACTTCACCTCACCCATCTTGGAGCACTTGAACTGCATCTCCAGCATCTGCTCTGCGCTGTCCAGCAAAGCAGTTGATGCAGAAAAGAGAAGGATATCATCCACATACACCAAGAGCATGAGGATTTCATCCTTCTCCTGCAGCAGGAACAGGCTGGGGTCACACTCACTCTTCTTGAAACCCCCAGCCAACAGCGCCTCCTCCAACTTGTGATACCATGCACGAGGCGCCTGCTTAAGGCCATAGATGGCCTTCTTCAGCCTGCAGACCCTGCCGCTCCCGTCATCCAGCCCCTCTGGCTGCTTCATGTACACCTCCTCCATAATGATCCCATTCAGAAAAGCAGTCACAATGTCCATCTGCCGTATCTTCCATCCCAGGAGTGCAGCTATCGCTAACAGCACCCTCAGTGTTGTTCCTTTCCCCACAGGAGCAAACACCTCATCATAGTCCTTCCCTTTTGTCTGCTGAAACCCCCGTGCCACAAGCCTAGACTTGTAGCGGGTCAGCTCCCCTTCAGGTCCATACTTGTGCCTGTAGATCATCTTGGAAGTGATTGCCTTCTTTCCAGGAGGCAAGTCACACAGGTCCCATGTCTCGTTCTCAATTAGGGACCCGAACTCCTCATCCTCACTCGCCTTCCACTTCTCCCCATTTGGTCCATTCAAGGCCTCTTCTCGAGTCTTGGGCTCAGGGATTGGTGCCCAGTAGCAGTGAGCGATCTCATCTTCCTCAATCTGCTCAACCACACTCCCAGCCTGCACCACATTTGGCTTGCCTCTTCCCCCATAGGTCAGCCTCACTGGAGGGCGCACATCCCTCCTAGGACGCTCAGGCGGGTGTGGAACTCGAGGTGGAGACTCATGCTGCTGCTGCTGCTGCTCTACTTCAGCTGCTCCCCCTTCCTCAGTCACCCCAGACATCTCCTCCTCTGACACTGCAACCTCCACCTGTCTTGAAGGGTGCTGCACCTCATCTGCCTCCACAATGAGCGGTGTAGATGGAAGCTTCTGTTGCTGCTGCTTCCATTCCTTGTAGTACAGGGACTCAAGAAACTTCACATCCCTTGACACTGTCAACTTCTGGGTGGTCAAGTCCCATAGCAGCCACCCCTTGTGATCCTTTGCAATCCCCAAGTGCACACCCCATCTTCCAGAAGCCTCCAACTTCCCCCTTTTCTCCTTAGGCACATGAAACACCACCATGCACCCAAATGCCCTCAGCATGTTCACAGTTGGAGCACTCCCATACCACTTGACATATGGGATCCACTCCTTATCTCCAACTGTAGCCAGCACCCTGTTCTTCACAAGGGCGACCTGCCTCAGTGCAGACACCCAAAACGGATCAGGCAGCCCTGCACGCCCAAGGAGAGTGCGTGCCCCCTCCTGCAGGGTCCTGTTGAACCTCTCAGCCACGCCATTCTGCTGCGGGTTGTAGGGCACTGTCAGTTGATGCTGGATCCCCTTCCTCTTCAACTCCCCCTCAAAATCAGCTCCAATGAACTCCCCACCATTGTCACTGCGGATCACCTTCACCTTGTATCCGCATTCCCTCTGAGCTCTAGGCATCCACTCCTTAAGGACAGCCGCTGCCACCTCCCCCTTGCTCTTCAAAGGGTAAACCCACACTGCCCGAGTGTGGTCATCCACAATTGTCAAGAAATAGCGGCTGCCTGAGAGGGAAGGGGCTCTTGTGGGCCCCACCACATCCATGTGCACAAGTGCAAGTGGGGTCTTGGCTGGTCCTGTAGTGCTGTTGAAGGGGAACTTGGAGAACTTGGTCTCCAAGCATGTAGGGCAGCTCCCAATCTCCTTCACTCCCCCTTTCACCTCCAAGCCCTTCAGGCTCCCATCCTTCACCAACTTCTGCAGCATAGGGAAGTTCACATGACACAGCCTCTCATGCCATGTCTCCCAATCGGCCTCTCCACTCCTTGATGAAGCCTTAGCCCATGCCGCACTCGCATCCACACCAGCAAGCACCTCACCATGTGTCTGCTGCTGCTGCACTTTCTTGACTGCTTCCAGGACCCCATCAGTTGGTGCAGTTGCATCTCCTCCTGCTGTTGCCTTTGCCGCTGCTGCCGTTGCTGCTGTTGGAGTCTTCCCATTCCATGGGATGATGGGCAGCTGCCACAGGTCCTTGATGCAGCTGGTCTCCTCTTCCAGACTCCACAGCACCTTCTTCCCAAGCTTAGCACGGCAGCTGGTTGGTCCAAAGGTCACTTCGGCCTTGCTCTTCTGCAGTCGTCGCACAGAGAGAAGGTTAGCAGACAAGCCTTCAACCAGCAGAACATTCCCAAGCCCCACAAGCTCCCCATTAGCTCCCTTAACCTTGGCATTTCCAACACCAATGACAGGGAGCAAAGCACCTGACGCTGCTGCCACATACTTGATCTTCCCAGGGGGTTTTACCTCATCAAGCAAATCTGCCCGTGGGGTCATGTGACTGGTGCAACCTGAATCAATCACCCAGTGCGTGAGAGGGTGCATCACAACCTTTCCCACAGATCCCACATCACCCTCATGCCCATGCACATCCTCAACCATGAGATACATCCCAGGATAGGCGTTACCTTGTGCACCTTCACCTTGTGCACCTGAGCCTTGCACAGCGCCACCTTGTGCGCGTTCACCACTTGGCGGCTTCATGCCTGGAGGTGACCATCCCTCCAGCCTGCTGAAGCACTTGAACCAAGGATGCCCGACCTTCTTGCAGTACCAGCAGGTGCCCTCCATTCTGGTACTCCCCCTGCCACTGGAGCTCCCATGCCCCTCATTATAGTCACCTCGGCCTCTACCTCTGCCAAAGCTTCTCCCACGGCCTCGGCCTTTCCAACCCCCTCTTCCTCTGCCGCGCCCTGCAGCTCCATACCCCTCAGCAGTCTTAGTGGCAGCACCGCCTCCCACATGGCGTCTGCGGAAGTCCTCCTGCAGAATCTGCTGCCTTAGCCACTCAGGTGTCCATTGATCTTGCTGAGAGTTGAGGGTGGGGATGAGGTTATCCCACGAGTTGTCCAACACCGAGATGATCTTGGTGCACTGCTGCAGCTGAGATACACTGCTGCCCGCTGCTGCCATCCTTGCATAGGTGTCCTTGATCTTGTCAAGGACCGGCTTCACATCGTCCCCTGGTCGCATGGAGATGGCAGCAAGTTCCTTCTCGAGCACGATCACCATCGGGAGAGTGTTGGGCTGAATCACATCGCGTAGTAGTTTCCACGCCCTTGGACCCGAATCATCCGCTTCCACAAGATCCTTGATGTGCTCGAACATCTCCTTGTTGACCGATTGAAGGATGAGGTCGAAAAGCACCGCGCTTTTCTCAATCCACCGTTCGCGTGCTTCGCCTTCTTCCGGCATCTTCTCTTCCCCAACAGCAATCTTCAGTAGCTTGTAGCGTTTGAAGGCACTCCTCATCCGTCCGCTCCATTCCTCATAGTTGGAGCCATCCAAAGCTTCAACTTTTGATGGCGGCGGCTCACTTGTCTTCTCAGCTACAGCTCCTCTTCCATTAGCATCTCCTCCTCTCTCATTCATCTTCTCCTTGAGAAATGACGAATTTCAGCCCCCCTTTGCTGTCCACACTCAGCTCCCTCGATATTTTCACAAGTGTCGGCGTCCACGAAATTTCGGCAGAGTTTCCCTTAGCGGAAGACACATCCAACCTTTAGAACACCACTTAGGCACACCCACAGGCCATGGTGGGTCTAGAAGGGTCTTCACACTTCTGTAGACTCCTCTCAATGTCCTTAATATCGCTCTGATACCACTTGTTAGGATTAAGGACAGAGTCTAGGTGAACTTAGGAGCTAGAATTACTCAAAATATAAATCCGAAATTCTGGACAGAAAAGTCGTCTTCACAAGAAACGACGTCGACAAAACACTAGCCGTTGGAATGTCGCGAAACTTGGATATGTTGTAGCTCTTGATCTCAGCTACCGTTCCCAATTTGAATCACGTTGATTGATGAAGTATTCGCGACGCTATGGCTTTCGACGCACTAGGGGGTAAGCTGTAGGAGGAGAACTTAACTCAATCTCAAGAGTTCAATCAAAGTTCAAGAATCTCACAAGGAATTAGAAGGAGCAAGAGAAAGGTTGGGATAGGAAGAGAGGGATGAGAGGGAAGGTCCCAAGAGAGTCCCCAACCAAGGAAACCCCATAAGCACAAAGATTCCCTCCCTATAGGAACCCCAACTTTGACATTTGTCCCTTCCCAACCAATCCATCCAAGTTGGCCACCCTTGCCAACCTAGCTTGGTTGTTCCCAACCAATTTGCAGCTGTTACAGTGAGTGACAAATTTCCCAAACCCCCAAAGGTCCCAACTCCATATAGAGTCACCCCACAACTTCACTTTGTAACCGCCGCAATTGTAACGCAAGCTCATGAACTTTGAATCTTCATAGCTTTCGCGTTCTTGCTCCGATTGAAGGGATTCTCGTTGCGTCGGAAAGATCTTCTCAAGATCTATCATCACAAAAAACCTGCTCAAACAAAATAACACAAAACACATTCCCAAACTCCAGAACACATCACACACAAATTCTTGCACACGTTCAAACCACACATGCAAGTTGAAAAAATATGGGATGGGAGGCAGACAGAATGTGATAGCATATGATGACATCACACAACAGTGGGGTGGAGATTTTCCCCCATCATTTCCTCCTCGCGTCGAATCAGCTTCGTCGAAGTTGATTTTTACGGAATCCCGCGGCCGCTTTCGGATCTTTTTATTTTCGCCAGCTAGATCCGCAATTACTGGCGACTCCCGTTTTTTGGCTTCTGATTGGCTGAAGGAATTCCGCCACTGTTGCGTGCCCGATACTCTGCGCGTGCGGCTTTCATTTTGCTGCAGTCGAAGATTCGATGACCCGGCACCCCGCAAAAAACACACGTGTAATTGGTGTTTTTCGGACGTGGCCGCCCCTCGAACCTGTCGACTTCCATCGGGTCGGCGAACGTGGGTTGAGCCGAGCGGTCGCCCTGTCGCGTACTGCCGACGTGCGTCCGTCGTGTTCCGGCGTTGACCATGTCGAAGCGCTCCGCTGCCGAAACGACGTCACTGTAGCTCGCGTAGTTTGACGCTGCGACTTGTCGTTTGACTTCGGTCTTCAGCCCGGCGAGGTACGATTGTACTTTTTCCCCTTCGGTCAGGTCGGGAATGCGGTTATAAAATTCCTCCATCTGCTGCGTGTACTGCGCTACACTCCCGAACTGTCGGTGTCGATGAATTTTTTCCCGGGCAACGAAACTGGAATTTATCGGCTCGAAGCGTTTCAGCAGGTCAGCGCGGAACTGCTGCCACGTGGCTTCACCGTGGATGAAGGTACTGTTGCCGCCAATCCACTCGAGTGCCGGCCCTCGCATCAGTGTCGCCGCGAGTCGTACACGTTGGCCGTCCCAGACTGGCGAGCTCCATCCGACGGCTGCGAAGTAGATCTCCATCCCGGCGATCCATCTGCGGGCGTCGGAGTTTCGATCGCTCGGATCGAACGGCTCAGGTGAGCGCGGTTTCGGAGCCTCGAGAAACTGCTGCGACTGCTGCGTCGTCGCCGTTGTCGTCTCGTGCTGCGCTCCGGCGAGTCGAGTTACTCGCTCGAACTCGTTTCGCCACGCTTCGCGATCCGCTCGCATTTCCTCCTGAAGGGCTGCGATGCGCGCAAAGAGCTGCTGGGTAACCTCGGTGTTGTCAAAGGTTGCCATCCTGTTCAAAACGCGCAGGGAGGGTGTAATTCGAAAATCGCGGAGCTGGTGCTTACCAGAATCGGCGTCGAATTGGTCGCCCCCGGCGGTTTTTCGAGACAGGTTTTCCCATTGCTGCTGCTTTGTTGAGCGCGGCCGAGTGAGAAAAGCTCTGATTACCAAGTGTCACAGGATCGAATGTCTCGAGGAAAGGTTGCACTATCGATCAGTACAAGGCGCTTTTATACTTCCAGAGTACATCAGGTAACCAGGTTTATCTTATCCTAGGGAAATAGACCCTTCTAGAAGATAGAATCACCCTGCGTATAGCCACGCGAGGCTATTGGCTTTAAAGGATTACAGCAGGATTACGCTAGATAGAGCGCACCAGTACATCCCAAGCCGGGTTGGTGATATAATTATAATAGCAGGATAAACCAAAGGTTAATGGAAAAGGAAGAATAGGAAACCAAAGGAGATGGAATAAAAGAGAAATGAAAAAGGAAGGAAATAAGAAAAGGCCAAGTGGTGTAAGGGGGTCGTACTCTCACATGTCCCCTCCATCTGTATTCCCCCCCGTGCACTTCTGGAGGACAGGCATGAGGAGATGTTTGACCTTCACGCGGTCTGCCAATTTCT